TCTCAAAGCTACCCTGGGTCCCCTACTGATAGAACAGTTATGAAGGCAGGCTGCATATTACCACATTGTTGGTGGTGGCATAAAACCACGCATCCGTGGTAGTGGGGAAAACACTGCTTAGAAAAAGGAGTGAGGCGATCACCCAGTTCTGGCCACCCTCTTGACTTTTTTCACTCCCTGCAATGCAGGGGTGCCCACAAGGTGCGGTGAAAAAGTCAAGAGGGTGACCTTGAAGGTGTGAATCAAGCTCTGCCCATTTTTTATGTGCATCCCGCACACCATGCGCATAGAAAACAGGCCAAGGTTTGATTGCACCATTGCAGTTGTCCTCTTGTCTTTTTTCATCACTTCCTGCAGACCCCCCTGTTGTGATGCCCTTGAAATCACTAGTGAGAAAATGGCCATAGAAGAGGCTAGAGCAGTGTTTCTCAACCTTGGCAGCCTGAAGATGTGTGGACTTCAACTCCCAGAATACCCTAGCTAGCCTTGCTGGCTGGGGAATTCTGGGAGTTGAAGTCCACACATCTTCAGGTTGCCAAGATTGAGAAACACTGGGCTACAGAGAGATACAGGGGATTGTTACCTCCTCTGCCTTCTGAGGCATGATTTTTCAAGAAACAAAGACTTGGGGAAGAAGACAGGGCATTAAGGGAGGGTGATTCTCCTTTGCTAATCTGCTGGGGTTGCAAACTAATTCAGTCAATGGAAAGAGTGGCTTTTTAAAAGGGACAGAAGAGGAAAAAGCCATTTAGGTGAAAAGCTCCTTCTTATCCTTGAACGAAGCTGGCTAGACACCATGTATCTTTGGCTATGTTCACACTTCACACTAAGCAGTAATATGGTTTATTTGGTTTGGGCTCCATGTGTTGGGTGAGCCTTGCTACTATGGATTATAAACTCTGGGTTAGGGCTTAGTCTGATTGTGGATCAGGCCCAGAAAAGTGGGTTTCCCATTGGGGTAGGTTTGCTTCACTAACCACAATCACTGTTTCAGGCACCATGCTAAGCACAAACCAGACAGGTCACAGCCTAGCACATCAAGAGGAAACAGTCTTTTGAGTTGAGACCTACCAGCTGTAACACAGGCCAGATTCCTTCAGATCAAGGTACTTTGAGCCTGGTTGAGTTGGGAGGGAGACCCATCAAATTCCAAACAATTGTTTTAGAGAAAAGGGTGAAGGTTTGGGTTTTGAACTCACACTATCTAGTGTGATTCTCAAAAATGCAGGGGTATCCCTGGCACCCTGTACACCTTCTTCTTCTGAAAGACATTTGGAACATGCTGGGTCACAGATGGGTGGCCTTTTTGCTTGCTTTCAAAAGCCCAGTGCAGTGTTTCTCAACCTTGG